CTAACAACATGCATAGGCAGTAAGTATATCATTTTATAAGGAAAGGAAAATAGAGGTTATTTGTTCAAGTCACAGAAAAAAAAATTATCTCAGGGCCAGAAATAGACAGAAGTTAATCAAATGGTCAGTAAACATGGGGAAATCTCCCAGTAGTATTTCAGTTATGGGCCCAGTGAGACATGAACAAACCATCCCTTAGGATTTCTAATGCAAAAGAACAAATATAAAAATAGAAGACTGAGGAGGCTGAGGCCGGAGAATTGCCTGAACCCAGGAGGTGGAAGTTGCGGTGAGCCGAGATCACGCCATTGCACTCCAGCCTGGGCAACGAGAGCGAAACTCCGTCTCAAAAAAAAAAAAATTGAAGACTTTTTGTGTAGTTAGTACCAAGTTCTCCAGTCAAATTCTACACAGCAACTGGAGGAGAGGGTCTCAGATCAAGGAAGAAGTGGGATTGGCTTGGAGGGATCCTATCTGGATTTAAGGAAAGTAACAACACAAATTATGGGACGGATCCACATCCTCGAGGTACATTTTTATGTCTCTGCAGAAAAGTAAGCTGACAGCATAAAGGGTCACCAAATAGGAAAGGAGATATGGTTTAATTTTTATCTTTGTGACTCTCTGTTTACATTCATTATGGAAAAATCAGGGTTTAAGTCAGAGTTTAAGGTGGGCCAAGACTTCCCATCTTAGGGTTTAAGAAGCTTTGCTGGTTCAGAAGTGAGGCTGGTGTCTTGGTGAAAAGCAACCAAAGAGAAGGAGAGTGAGAAGACAAAGTAGAAAAGAAGAGAGAGGTGGTCAAAGGGGTTAGAATTTGAGTCAGAGATATCTGTGGTATATCCTCAGGTCAGAAGTTAAAACAAGAATAAAGTCAGAGACTTACTTCCTGAGTAGACAGACTTGTGGGGGAAAGAGTTCCAGAACTCTCCCCATTCATAAAATGCATCTATTGTAAATTCGTGTACACAGTGGACATCCTTTATAATATTATTTCTGCTTCTGAAAAAAATCTGTCTCTGTTGACCTGAGATATGGAGGTGCTGGTAGGGGTTTGAGGGATGGCAGGATAGGCAATTATGTAGTCAGCAAGCTGAGGTCAAAACCTGAAAAGTCAAGATGTAAGTGAGAGGCAGCAGGAGCAATTTCTCCCAGGAAACAGATAACACAAGTAGTCTTTTTGTGTCGTGGGTAAATTTTGACCCTTAGAATATGTTCAACTCCTAACCCTCAGTACCTCTGAATGTGACTGTTTTTGGAAATAGGGTATTTGCTGATGTAATTAACTCAAGATGAGGTACTAATGGATTAGGGCTTCTAAGGTATCCTTATAAGCAGAAGTATGAAACTTGGACACACAGATATACCCAAGAAAAAAGTTCATATGAAGTTAGAGGCAGAGGCTGGAATATGCAGCTTCAAGGAACACTCCTGGCCAACAATCACCAGAAAGTAGGAAGAGGCAAAGATAGATTCATCCCTAGAACCTGATGAGGACACACGGCATTTCCAAAACCGTGATTTTGAACCTCTAGTCTACAGAACTATAAGGAAATAAATTTCTGTTATTTTAAGCCAACCAGATTGTAGTAATTTGTTATGGTGGCACTAAGAACCTAATACACCTTGCTGTCTGAAGGACTTTCAGCTGTGTGGTTGCCAGGTTTATGAGTCAACTGAGATGCAGACTTTCACAGTCCTAATCCATGTCCTCAATCCATGTCGCTGGCATGACACTCCCCTCAAGCCTCACCCTTCGATCCCACCAGGCCACAGATCCCCTGGTGGAGCCAGGGGAGAGTGCTGGTCCTCAGAGACTCTAGCATGACCAGAGACTTCAGGCCTGGACTTCTGGGACACATCTTTTCTGGGTTCTAAGGGCCAAGATTTTTCTCCTTCAGAGCCAAGGGCCCACAAATACCTACATTTCAAATTCTTTCATAGTTTACTACTGTAAGAGAGGGGTATGGTGTTTGGCCAATTAGAAGAGTAGGTATTTAATAAGTAGGAGGTGCTTTAAATCTAGGGAAACCTCCAAGCAGCAAGCACATTTTACAGTCACTGAGATCTTAATGAACACCAATGTCTAGATTGCACCTGCATAAATTGGGTACAGATCCAGGCGTAAGTATTTTTTTAAAGGTGTCCAGTACACAGTCAAGTTGAAAACTTGAACTAGGTGCTGGCTGGGTGATAAGAAGTCTATCGTGGGTTCACTCAACTTCTTATAAGCTCATGTAGAAGAAAAATTATTAAATTATTAGATAGAAAATTACAGCTGGTTTCTGACAAGGTTCTGTCAGAGCTACCTTTGTGTTTTAGAACTCATATCCATCTTTGTCCCAAATACAGAGTAGTCCTACTTATCTCTTCCTCATCTCCCACATCAAATCAGTCACAGAGTTTTCTTGATTCTGTAAACTTTTCTCAAATGTACCTTCTCTCTGCATTCCTTTGGCCACTGCCTTAAGTCATGCTTACCATTTCCTGCCTGGGATTCTGACAGAAGCCTAACTGGACTTCTTGTTTGTAGCCTTCCTCACTTCCAATTCATTTTCCAGTTGCCACCAAAATAATCCTTTAAATACACAAGTTTCAGTGTTTTACTCTCCTGCTTAAACCCCCTTCCATGGCTCCCCTTTTGCTTACAAAGTAACTTCTGGGCTGGTCACATGACAAATAGGACTCTCCATAATTTGGCCCTTGCCTCCTTCTCGCCTGTTTCTTCTGGTGCACTTGTTCTGTGGACTTCATTTTTCATCCATAGTTCATCATGCTATTTTCAGCCTCAGTCTTTGCAGATGCTGCTGTGCCTTTGCCTAGGAAGTCCCTCCCTAAATGTAACCTTTGGCTTCCTACAGTATTTCACATTCCTTCTCCTTTGCCAAGAAATCTTCCTAACCCCTACTTCCACTTCTGCTCTCCAATACTTCTGTGCTTTATCAGTATTTTTATTAAGGCCCATCCTGCTGCTTGATAAAATGTTGTAAGGGTTTGTGTCACCTAGATGATGAAATCCTTGAGAGAATTTCTAAGTCTTACTTCTGCAATCTTAGCCACTAGCAAAATATCAAATGTATATTGAGCCCTCAAGTGTTGAGTGAATTAATGGGAAAACAAGGAAATAAATAAATGCATTTGTCTTCTGGAAGAAATTCAATCCACAAACTTGGTCTTCATGGCTAAAAGGGCAATAAGAGGTGGAAAGTGTGGGAGTAGGAAAACATTTAGGAAGAGAATATTTTGCTCAGAGGGAGAGATCATATTGGTTTAGACAAATTAAGCTAAGGAAGAAAGTAGTAATAGTTATTCTCTTGACAAGAGGTAACACTAGTGGGCATTGGTGCAGAAGATAATTGATTTATCTACTTACTCTAGCAGAAATCAGTTGTGTTTGGATATGGTTTGGATCTGTTTTTACCTAAATCTCGTGTTCAACTGTAATCCTCAGTGTCAGATGTGGGGCCTGGTGGGAGGTGATTGGATCATGGGGGCAGTTTCTAATGGTTTAACACCATCCCCCTGGGTGCCATTTTCATGATATTGAGTGAGTTCTCATGAGAGCTGGTTGTTTAAAAGTGTGTAGCACCTCCCCTGCTTCCTCCTGCTCCAGTTGTGTAAGACATGCCTGCTTCCCCCTTGCATTCTGCCATGATTGAAAGTTTCCTGCGGCCTCCACAGCCGTGCTTCCTATACAGCCTGTGGAACCATGAGTCAATTAAACCTCCTTCCTTTATAAATTACCCAGTCTCAGGCATTTCTTTACACCAATGCCTGAGACTAATGCAGTTTTTAGTTTTTCAAAATGGGTCTGTAAGTTGGGACTTTCCTCATTTTACTAGAATATTTTATTTTACAACCCTGTCATACCAAGGGATACAGACCTTCATAAAAATAGAAGATGTTCTTATAAATATTCAAGTAATTATGGTTACCTGAGATCATGCTTACCATGGTACAAAATAAACTATTTAGTGAATGCATTAAAACCTGTTTAGTCCATGCGCAGTGGCTCACACCTATAATCTCAGCATCTTAAGGGCCTGAAGTGGGAGAATAGCTTGAGTCCAGGAGTTCAAGACCAGCCTGGACAACATAGTAAGACCTCGTATCTACAAAAAATAAAAAACCAGACTGAGCACAGTGGCTCACACGTGTAATCACACCTGTGGGTGAATCATCTGAGGTCAGGAGTTCAAGACCAGCCTGGCCAACGTGGTGAAACCCCATCTCTGCTATAAATTCGAAAATTAGCAAAGTGTGGTGGTGGATGCCTGTAATCCCAGCCAGGAGGCCAAGGTTGCAGTGAGCCAAGATCACACCATTGCACTCCAGCTTGGGTGACAAGAGTAAAACTCAGTTTCAAAAATTAAAAAAATAATAATAAAATAAAAAATCTAGCCTTGTGTGATGGCATGCAGCTGTGGTCCCAGCTACTCAGGAGGCTGAGGTGAGAGGATTACTTGAGGCCAGAAAGTAGAGGCTACAATAAGCTGTGATTATGCCACTGCACTCCAGCCTGGGCAACAGAATGAGACCCTATTAAAAAAAAAAGCAATGAATAAACAAACAAAAACCTGTTTAAACACCCAAAAGAGAAGTACACTGAAGTAGCTAGTTAGGGCTAACTGAAAAGAAGGCATTTTGATAATAAAAAGTCTGTGATGATGATGGTCTGTTGTCACTAGATATCTGATAGAAATTGAAGAAGACTGAATTCTCATTGTCCCATATATCTTTTCTTTGAAGCTCTTATCACAAGTCTGCATTTACATGTGTAAGTTGTATTTGATTAATATATGTGTTCCTGACCTGTGATATATGAAGATAAAGAATTACATCTAGTTGTACTCATTCAACTTCAGTTTTTAATATGGTGTCTTGTGTATTATAAACTCTCCAGAACTATTTGTTAAACGAATGTGTTGAGTAAATAGTTCAGTCCTTTAAACACTGCCACTGGACATATTATACAATGAAGGTATCCCCTGATCTTACAGGATCTTATAGACCTACTCCTGATTCAGAAGCCCTTGGACTCTTCTCCATTCTCTGCCTCATCTGTGCTATTCACATTGTCCCAGTGAGTAGCCTGTGAAAGACACAAAATTATTGATTGCAGAAGCTTGAGAGGTACAGGATCTGAAAGTACAATTAGGTAAGGTTGAGGAGCAGCATATTCAACACCCACTAGATAGACTATTAAGCTATTTAGTGGACATAAGCATGGAATGGTTTATATCAGCTTCTAATATGATCTCAGTTGCCAAAAGTATTTTTCCAGGTCATTTTCTATTATTCAAGAATGTATGATAAATAAAGAACTTATAAGATTGAAACTAGGTTGATTCAGTGGTAAGACTGCCCATGTTAAAATGTTAGAACTACCAACATTTACCAAGAATAACATTGTAGATCCTGGTGGAGAGGGAATGAGGCAGAGGCCCAGTAGGCTGATGCTGTGTCTCAGAAACTGGACTTTTAACTGGTTGGGTAAATAATTCTCCAGCCTGTCTTGTAGTGCTTGTATTGCTAGGGGTTAACCAAAACCATGTAGACATGCACAATATATTGGGCCAGGTCCTGAAAGTAAATCAAGATAATATTAAAGGGATCCTTTATAAATTGATGGAGGGAGGTCAGTCTATTGCATCATTCCTAATGTCATTCTAACCACAACAACTGTACACTATGCAAAGGTAGCTTTGCTTTTTCACTCTCACACTGGATTCCAACTAGTTTGTGTGCCTCACAGAGGTTGTTTGGGGTAGATGCTTAATGTACATTATTCATCTTATAAACTGGGAAGCATTAATAGATAGTGATAGTGTTGAGAACTGTTAGTCTTTTAGTAACCTCATTTTCCCACTTTTATATTACATAAGAAGAATTAAAACCAAAGGAGGGGAGAGAGAAGAGCAAATGAGCCTTCATTGTAAGTCTGCCTCAATGAACTTCAAGACTTGTTTTGTATCTGGCTTTTCTTCATCCCAGGTAACTACCAGATATTTACCCTGGCTTACAGAATTATGCTAAGCTTTTTGTATATATTACCTCATTTAATCTTCACAACACATCTCTGAGAAGTGTCAGTAGTGGCTCCACTATATAGATGAGGAAACTTTGGAATTTTCTAATTGGCCATAGAGTCAGTTTCATAAGGATATATAAAAGATATGCTAGGATCCCTATCAATCTTGGTACTATGGTGGTGGAAAACATGACCTAGAATTCAAAATGAATCCAGAATAATCCCAGACCAGCTTTTGCCTGTATAGATGGATCAGTAAGAGCTGCGGTAGGAGGGTAATCATGGGTAATTTTTTTAAGAGGCAGGGTCCAGGGGAATCTCCAAGATGGCGGAATAGACACAACTCTGGTGCACATCACCCAGTGAGAGAGACACAGAAATCCAGAGATCTCCTAGCTCCAACCAAGGTACCAGGGGTGTTACAACGGGTCTGTTCCTATGGTGAGCAAAGCCCCCAGGCAAGGCAGAGGGAGGTGGGGATGGGTACTGCTTCACCCAGAAAATGCACCTGACCAGTGAGTCGGAGGCTCCCCCTCTGGCACTCCAGTCCAGATATAGCGCTTCCCCCAAAGCCTCAGCAATACACAGAACAGGGGATCTTTGCCAGTCAAGTGCCAGGAATTACAAGCGTGGAGTTGAATAATAATCCAGGATGGTGTCCCAGATTGGTACATAGACCTAAACAGACGAATAAACCCAAAAGGTGGCCAGGAGAGCCTGTGGACTGAGCTATCGTCCCCTCCGCCTACCCAGAGAGAGAGGGAGCTGTAAGCAGGAGGACAGATGGAGCAGCTTGGTGGGCCCGTACCCCATGACTGGAGAGAGAGGAAGCTGAAAGGGGGAGATGGCTTGGTGCGGCTGGGCAGGTCCCTACCCTTCCCCACAAACCCCAGAGGGCTGAAGCTCTGACTCTAGTGAGTTGCACAACCACTGCCACAGTCTGTTCTGAACCCTGAATGAGCCAGCCTAGTGGAGGAAGGGCACAACCCACCATTAGAGGGGTGGGACTAGGCTACATGTTTTAACAAAAACACAAGAAGCCTACATAGCAACAGGACAGTATTCTTGACCAAACAGCAGTGCCTACGGGTCAGCGGAAGAGGTGGGCCTAACCTCCAAGTATAAACAAAAAGACACAGGATGTTTTCCTAGTAACCTGAAGGAGTCCCTAGAAACCCAGTAGCACCTCAACAGGCAGACAAGTGACCTCATCAAGCAGCTCCCTGACATCACAGCCAGGTAAATCCACAAAGATGGGGAAAAACCAGCACAAAGAAGAGGAAACCATCAAAGACCAGAACACCTCTTCTCCTTCAAGGTATCACAACTCCTCAACAACATAGGAACACAATGCGACTGAAAATGAGCGCAATGAATTGACAGAAACAGGCTTCAGAAGGTGGATAATAACAAACTTTTCTGAGCTAAAGGAACGTGTTCTAACTCAATGCAAAGAAACCAAAAAACTTGAAAAAAAAAGTTAGATGAAATGCTAACTAGAATAACCAGCTTAGAGAAGAACATAAACGACTTGATGGAGTTGAAAAACACAGCACAAGTACTAGGTGAGGCAAACACAAGTTTTAATAGTCAAATCAACCAAGCAGAAGAAAGGATATCAGAGATTGAAGATCAGCTCAATGAAATAAAAAAACAACGCAAGACAAGAGAAAAAAGGGGGAAAACAAGTGAACAAAGCCTCCAAGAAATATGGGATTATGTGAAAAGACTTAATCTACGCTTGATCAGTGTACCTGAATATGATGGGGAGAATGAATCCAACCTGGAAAATATGTTCCAGGATATTATCCAGGAGAACTTCCCACACCTAGCAAGATAGTCCAACATTCAAATTCAAGAAATACAGAGAACTCCACAAAGATATTTCTCAAGAAGAGCAACCTTAAGGCACATAATCATCAGATTCACCAGGGTTAAAATGAAGGAAAAAATGCTAAGGGCAGCCAGAGAGAAAGGGGTTACCCACAGAGGGAAGCCAATCAGAATCACCGCAGATCTCTTGGCAGAAACCCTAGAAACCAGAAGAGAGTGGGGCCGATATTCAACATCCTTAAGGAAAAGAACTTTCAACCAGAATTTCATATCCAGCCAAACTAAGCTTCGTAAGTGTAAGAGAAATAAAACCCTTTATGAACAAGCAATTACTGAGAGATTTTGTCACCACCAGACTGACCTACAAGAGCTCCTGAAAGAAACACTGCATGGAAAGGAACAAGTACCAGCCACTGCAAAGCAAACCAGTTGGCAAAGACCAAAAATGCAATGAAGAAAATGAGTCAACTAAAGGGAAAGAAAACTAGCCAGTAACAAAATGGCAGGATAAAATTCACACATAACAATATTAACATTGAATGTAAACAGCCTAAACACCTCAATTAAAAGACACAGACTGGCAAATTGGATAAAAAGACATATCATGTGCTGTATTCAGGAAACCCATCTCACATACAAAGACACATAAAGACTCAAAATAAAGGGTTGGAAAAAGATTTAACCAAGCAAATGGAGAACAAAAAAAAGCAGGGGTTTGCAATTCTAATCTCTGATAAAATGGACTTCAACCAACAAAGATCAAAAGAGACAAAGAAGGACGCTACATAATGGTAAAAGGATCAATCCAACAAGAAGAGCTAACTATCCTAAATATATACGCACCCAACTCAGGAGCACCCAGATACATAAAGCAAGTTCTTAATGACCTAAAATGAGATTTAGACTCCCACACAATAATAGTGAGAGACTTCAACACTCCACTGTCATATTAGACAGATCAATGAGACGGAAAATTAACAAGGACATCCAGGACTTAATGCAGAGCTGGACCAAGCGGACCTAATAGACATATACAGAATGCTCTACCCAAATCCATAGAATATACATTTTTCTCAGCACCACATTGCACTTACTCTAAAATTGACCACATTATTGGAAGCAAATCACTCCTCAGCAAATGCAAAAGAATGGAAATCATAACAAACAGTCTGTCAGACCACAGAACAATTAGACTAGAACTCAGGATTAAGAAACCACACTCAACCCACACAAGCACTTGGAAACTGAACAACTTGCTACTGAGTGTCACTGGATAAACAATAAAATGAAGGCAGAAATAAAGATGTTCTTTAAAAACAATCAGAATGAAGACACAACTTACTGGAATCTCTGGGACACCTTTAAAGCAGTGTCGAGGGGGAAATTTATAGCAATAAATGCCCACATGAGAACAAGGAAAGATCTAAAATTGACACCCTATCATCAAAATTGAAGAGCTAGAGGAGAAAGATCAAAAAAACTCAAAAGCTAGCAGAAGGCAAGAAACAACTAAGATTGGAGCTAAATGAAGGAGATAGAGACACAAAAAAACCCTTCAAAAATTCAATAAATCCAAAAACTGGTTTTTTGAAAAGATCAACAAAATAGACTGCTAGCCAGACTAATAAAAAGGAAAGAGAGAAGAATCAAATAGATGCAATTAAAAAAGATAAAGGGGATATCACCACTGATCCCACAGAAATACAACTACCATCAGAGATTACTAAAAATAGCTCTATGCACATAAATCAGTAAACCAGGAAGAAATGATACATTCCCGGACACTTGTACTCTACCAAGACTAAACCAGGAGGAAGTTGCAACTCTGTCTAGACCTATAACAAGGGCTGAAGTAGAGGCAGCAATCAGTAGCCTACCAACGAAAAAATGTCCAGGTCCGGCCGGGTTCACAGGCAAATTCTACCAGACGTACAAAGAGGAGCTGGCTTCATTCCTTCTAAAACCGTATCAAACAATACAAAAGGAAGGAATCCTCCCTAACTCATTTTATGAGACCAACATCATCCTGATTGATAACAAAACCAGGCAGAGACTCAACTAAAAAAGAAAACTTCAGGCCAATATCCATGATGAACATTGATGGAAAAATCTTCAATAAAATACTGGCAAACCAATTGCAACCACCACATCAAAAAGCTATCCATCACGATCAAGTAGGCTTCATCCCGGGGATGCAAGGTTGGTTCAGCATATGCAAATCCATAAACGTAATCCATCACATAAACTGAACCAAACACAAAAACCACATGATTATCTCAATAGATGCAAAGGCCTTCCACAAAATTCAACAGCTCTTCATGCTAAAAAAACCCCCAATAAACTAGGTATTGATGTAACGTATCATAAAATGATAAAAAGCCATTTACGACAAACCTACAGCCAATATACTGAATGGGCAAAAGCTGGAAGAATTCCCTTTGAAATCAGGCACTACGCAAGGATGCCCTCTCTTACCACTCCTATTCAATATTGTATTGGAAGTTCTAGCCACAACAATTAGGTAAGAAAAAGAAAGAGTATTCAAATAGGAAAGGAGGAAGTCAAACTGTCTCTATTTGCAGATGACATGATTGTATATCTAGAAGACTCCATCATCTCAGCTCAAAACCTTCTCAAACTGATAAGCAACTTTAGCGAAGTCTCAGGATATAAAATCAATGTGCAGAAATCACAAGAATTCCTATATACCAGTAACAGACAAACAGAGAGCCAAATCAAGGGTGAACTCCCATTCACAATTGCTACAAAGAGAATAAAATACCCAGGAATACAACTAACAGAGGATGTAAAGGACCTCTTCAAAGAGAATTACTAACCATTGCTCAAGGAAATAAGAGAGGACACAAACAGATGGAAAAACATTCCATGCTTATGATTAGGAAAATGGCCATACTGCCCAAAGTAATCTATAGATTCAATGCTATCCCCTCAAGCTACTAATGACCTACTTCACAGAACTAGAAAAAAACCACTTTAAACTTCATATGGAATCACAAGAGAGCCTGCATACCCAAGACAATCCTAAGCAAAAAGAACAAAGTCGGAGGCATCACATTGCTGGACTTCAAACTATACTACAAAGCTACAGTAATCAAAAGAGCAGGGTACTGGCCCCAAAACAGAGACATAGACCAATGGAACAGGACAGAGGCCCCAGAAGCAACACCACACATCTACAACCATCTAATTTTTGACAAACCTCACAAAAACAAGCAGTGAGGAAAGGACTCCATGTTTAATAAATGGTATTGGGAAAACTGGCTAGCAATGTGCAGAAGAAAGAAACTGGACTCCTTCCTGGCACCTTACTCTAAAATTAACTCCAGATGGATTAAAGATTTAAACGTAAAACCTAACACCATAAAAACCACTAGAACAAAATGTAGGCAAACCATCCAGAACATAGTCATAGGCAAGGACTTCATGACTAAAACACCAAAAGCAATGGCAACAAAAACCAAGATAGACAAATGGGATCTAATTAAAATTCAGAGCTTCTGTACTGCAAAAGAAACCATCATTAGAGTGAACTAGCAACCAACAGAATGGCAAAAAATTTTTGCAATCTACCCATCTGACAAAGGGCTAATATCCAGGATCTACAAAGAACTAAAACAATATACTAGAAAAAAACAAACAACCCCATTCAAAGTGGGCGAAGGATATGAACAGACACTTTTCAAAAGAAGACATACATGAGGCCAACAAACATATGAAAAAATACTCATCATCACAGGTCATTAGAGAAATGCAAATCAAAATCACATTGAGATACCATCTCATGCCAGTTAGAATGGCAATCATTAAAAAATCTGGAGACAACAGATGCTGGAGAAGATGTGGAGAAATAGGAACACTCCTACACAGATGGTGGGAGTGTAAATTAGTTCAACCATTGTGGAAGACAGTGTGGCGATTTCTTAAGGATCTAGAAATAGAAATTCCATTTGACCCAGCAATCCCATTATTAGGTATATACCCAAAGAACTATAAATTGTTCTACTATAAAGACACATGTACACGTATGTTCATTGCAGCCCTGTGTACCATAGCAAAGACCTGGAACCAACCCAGATGCCCATCAACAATAGATTGGACAAAGAAAATATGGTACATGTACACCATGGAATACTATGCAGCCATAAAAAATGAGTTCGTATCCTTTGTAGAGACTTAGATGAATCTGGAAGCCAGCATTCTGTACAAACTGACATAAGAACAGAAAACCAAACACTGCATGTTCTCACTCATAGTGGGTGTTAAACAATGAAAACCCATGGACTCACGGAGAGGAGCATCACATACTGGGGGCAGTTGAGGGGTGGGTAGGGGAGGGTCAGCAGGGGGTGGGGAGGGATAACATGGGGAGAAATGCTGGATATGGTATACACCTAAAGTAAAATAAAAATTTTTTAAAAAAAGAGAGAGGGTCTTGCAACTTTACCCAGGCTGGCCTTGAACTCCTGGGCTCAAGCAGTCATTCCCCCTCAGCCTCACAAGTAGCTTGGACTGCAAGCATGCACCATTGTGCCCAGAAATATATAATATTAATAACAGCATACAGATATGAAAGTCAGTTTTCAGGAACGGAATGCCATGCCATAGGGTTCACATTACCAAGTGAGAGTGCAAATCCAAGGAAAACTGGGAAGAGAGGGATTTAGTGACACAGTTCTCTCTTGTTCATTCTTGGTGATCATCACTAGATTCTGGTCTTATAAGACTGGCCATATGAGAAGTATGATCTCTATAAGAGATCAGAGATCTGAGAATGAAGGTACTCTCTAAGTCAATGACCATGCATCAGAATTTCCCCACCTCACATCCCCCAAGTCAGAATCTCTGAAAATATCATGTGGACATATGAATAGGGTCAAGGATGACAGAAGTGTTCATACATATTAGCATCCTTAAAAGCATCTAATCAATTTCATGCCCACTTAGAAAACAAAAAGACCAAAGGCATATTTTTGTAGGTTTTCTGTAGTGATGGGTATTGTAAATAAACATGCTTGTTGGGGGACTTTGTAAAGTCTATAGTTTGTCTCCTTTGTAAAGTCTATAGTTCTGAAGTGATTGGCTGCCATTGCATTTTCACCTCTTTTACTTAAAGTATGACCAGAATAATTAATGAATTAGGCTAATCTAGGAAGCTGGTAAAAGGAGGCTGAAAGAGGGTCACTAGATCAGTGGAATTGTTGAGTGCCTTAAATCTCAAAGCCTTCTACAGAATACATCTCACTTTAAATCTTCCCTTTCAGAAGGCATCAAATTCAGAGAGGATAAGATGTATGTCTTTGATAAATGCCAGTGTTTACCTTAAGACTGAAGTTCTGTTTCCTTTATGCTCATGTTGTACCAGAAACAACCTCAGAATTTTTAAACACACTATAGTCTGCTTCTGTGGCTCTCTGTTTATTCAGTATTGCTTTAGAATTGTTTAGATCCCTGTCTGGAAGGAGTCATTCTGCTTCTCAGACAATATAAAAAAAATGTCAGAAATATCAGCTAAAGACGTGAGTTTTTTTAAACTGATTGTGTATATTCAAATGAACTGATTTGGAAGCAGGAAGTAAATTTCAGAACTATATAAATGAATTAGAAAGGCTTAAAAATATTATCAGCCTGGAATTCACCTAAAATTTGTTATAAAGTCCTTTTGGACATCATATCTTTTTGAAGGAATACTGGCTAAAAATTTAACATGGGTCTTTCAGTGGTGGTATTATATATAACATTGGTCTTTCAGTGGTGATATTACATATAACAACTCATTTCTTATTTTTGCCGTTGACTTAATCTAGAGCAGTGTTTCTCAAACAATTTTCCTTTGCAACATGCCAAACTTAGATTTTTCAGCTTCTAAAATCCAGCAACAGATATCTTTTCACTCTGAATAATAATAATAAACTCAAGTACTTTTTTATTTATTTACAGGTATTATTTATCTGCTCATAAATGCTGATAGTCAAGAACAAAGTGAACAAGTCACAAGATAGTGAAAACAAACATCCTTAGGAGCAGCTGATCCTGCTGTGCCAAGCTGGCTTCTTTGAGATGTGAAATTCTGATTCATCATATTGCTTAAGTCAAATGTCATCTGGTATGATAGGAGAAGTGTCCCTATGATAGAATTATCATCAGCAATAGGTAAGAATGTTCTCCAAGGATCATGAGCACCTACAGGAACATACTCATACCAAAAATTTGAGAATTACTGATTTTGAGGACTCATTGCCCTTAATCACAAGGTCTCCCTTTGTCATTTTTGTTATGCATATGCCCTCTGACCCAGTTTTCCAACTTCTATTATATCCACTGAACAAAAATTTTTAAACACATGCACAGATGTTTATTGTAGCATTGTTTGTAATATTTAAAAATTGTGGCTAGGGACTGTTGCTCATACCTGCAATCCCAGTACTTTGGGAGGCCAAGGTGGGAGAATCACTTGAGCCCCGGAGTTCAAGACCATTCTGAGAAACATGATGAGACCTTGGTCTCTACAAAAAATTTAAAAGTTAGCACCCTTTGCTGCTCTGGAGGCTGAGGTGGGAGGACCACTTGAGCCCCAGAGGTCAAGGCTGCAGTGAGCTGTGTTCATGCCACTGAACTCAAGCCTGGGCAACAGAGCAAATCCTGTCTCAAAAAATAAACAAACAAACAAATGAAGAAAAATGGCATACAACTCAAACATAGGAGAATGTTTGGGTAAATCTTAGAATATTCACATAGTAGTTTTACAAAACAAGATAGCACTATTTATATTGATATGAATGATCATCAAGGCATAGATAATAAATAAAGTAAGCTGAAGAATAATCCATATATATTATCCCTGTATATGCTGTATTTGGTACACATGGGGCAAGTGGTAGGAAATGAAGGGGGTCTTAGAAAAAGTTCGGAGATGTCACACACCAGACTCTTGGTGGGAGGGTGAAGGTGCAAGGATGAAGGAGAACCTGAACTTTTTAATCTACATACTTCTGTGTTGTTTAAATGTATTCATAAATCATTTGTGTGCCTAAAAAATAATTTTTAAAAGAGAAATCTCGTGCTTATAAAGCATGTGTGATGAAATTTCTTTTCTTTAGAATTTAGTGCCAGAAAAACTTGCATTCAAATAAGAATTTGTTTGTGTTTCTTCAATTCTAAAGGAAATAATTCAAGAATATTTCCTTTTTAATTCTGCCTTTCAGGAAGCCCAGAATCAAAATGGACACTCAGTTGGAGCAGCCACACTAGCCTGCCAGGTTAGCAGGTTTGCTACCACCTCTTTCTACAGATCCCATTTGCAATTTTCTAGGTTTAAATTATCAAACTGATTTTCTATATAGTCTTCATTATAAGCCTCTTCAGATGTTTTTAAAATGAAATGAGGAATACATTAATGGATAAACAATCAAATGATTATTTTCATTGAGTTGGAAAGTCATTTCACATTTCAGAATGGCTCTTAGTGACAGTTGACTTCTACCTAAATGTAACTCAATATTAGACATTCTTATTCTGTAACATGTAACTCATACCTTAACAAAAATAATTAGTGGGCTCCAGAACCCTCAGAAAAATATATTCAGGATTTTGCTTTTCCCCCACTGTACTGTCTGAGGTGTTGTTTAGGTCTAGTGAGCTACTAAAGTTAATTATACCCAAAGGAAATACACAGACCTCAGGGATTTGATGGCAATGTATCTATTTATTGAGGTCCTCTGTGTGTGAAGTAAAATAGTCCTTAAAGAACATTAAATAGAAAGATCCAAGTACAGATTTATACAAGCAAGTAAAAAGATAGCCTGCTTCAAATAGTAAAATTTAAAAACTGTGCATTCTATAGAATACTGACAATCACAGGCTCAGGCTCACACTTCCCCACCCATTTCCACCCCAACACACACTTGGGTAAAGCATCCTGTTTTACAGGTTTCAAGCGTGGCTCCATCCTTGCTTTAAAAAAAACAGAAAACCAAACCACTTTTGGTACATTTTGGTGTGTTCTTTATTTTGAATGTCTTTTGAAACACATCCTTCTATGTTCCAGAAATAAACTGGCAGCTCCCTCTCTTGTCCTGGTGAAACTTCTCACCGGTCAGTTCCCCATGCAAACAAAGCCATGAGAGAAGTGTTTTAGACAAGCCTTTTCCCAACTAATGGCTTGAATGTGCCCTGGGAATGCTAACATGATTTTTTAATTAACATTAATTCTGCTTAGCTTCAACTATGAAAGAAATGGGGTTTCTTCAAACACCAATTAACAAAGCAAACCCCAATAAAGGGAAAATACTGGTTCCCCACCTCCAGCCCCCAACAGGAAATTCCCCCCTGTTTGAGTTTTCCCCAAGGTCTCTATAAACTTTTTCTGATGAACTTGGTAGAGCCTTAATGAGAATGAATCAGCACAGATTTTCCATCATATAAGCAGAAATATTTAATTTCATGCAAGGGGACAGCATGCTGGATTCTGCCTAGCCACCACATAATATTTTCAGTTTTTCCTCCTTCCTAGCAATTTATTTCTCATAGTATCTTCATTATAGTAATTCCTAGAGTTTCCCAAACCTGAGGACTGTACCTTAACATCATAGATGAAACAAAAAGACCTAAGCCCTTAGCTCATTGCTGACTCTATTTTCTTACTTGAAGCAGAGGGAAAATATTTTCCCTCTTTGTGTTTGCTCAGAATAAATTTCCCTGCATGGGCCACTCCTAGGACCCAGAGGGACAATCATACTTCCACACATGCCCAGAGGGCAAAGCAACACATCCAAAGATCCCACTAGGACAACCCTTTCTCACATCATATTCAGAAAAACACAAGATGTTATTCTGTGTACTACTCAAAAAGGGTTTGTGGTCAAATAAACTTGGGAAATGCTTCAAATCATATTTATTTGGAGATTCACAAAGCATGTCAATGCGATAAAGGCTCTGCAAACCTTGTAATTAGAAAACCTAAGTAACTTCGCTTAACCCTATTTATTTTTCTGACTAATTTAATCGCAACACCTTTCTTCATGGAATATGACGATTCCACAAATCACTTTAAAAATGAGAAGGAAGTGAATACTTACTAAGCACCAGCCATGTGCATTGATTATTTCAGTTAATCATCCTAACAGTTCTATAAGTATTATTATTATTATCCCCATTTTACAGGTTAAAAAAATGCTGAAGTTCAAATGTTGTTAAACATGTCCAGCTTTACATACATAATAAATTAATGTGGCTAGCATTTCAAATCCAACTCTAAGACAGTAACTCAGTTGGGTGAGGAGGTTTAAAACTATATCACATGAGGAAAAATCAACCATTCTAACTTAATTTTAGCTTAGTCTGATTTGGAGGAGTTTCTGGGGAGAGGAGGCATAATGTGATGATGTCTTTAATATTTTTAAGTTGGGACTGTCAAGTGAACACGGATTATTCAAGCAGCAGGTGGGGTGACTCTACCTTCAAGCTTCCATTCAGGCCTGAAACTATAAGCTTTTGAGCTGTTAAAGATGCACAAAGGACTGGTTCACTGTCACTGCTGACCAATTATCTTCCCAGAGGCTCACCTCTAAATTCATGCAGCTTGGAATTCCATGAAATGTTCTTACAACTTGTAAATGTAATAAATGCAACCGAAGAAAAATAGTTTTAAGGCCGTCAACACAACAATGTTTTTCAGTCAAACAGAAAGAATCCCAATTACTTTATGATGAAAGAACCAAAGCCTTACTATACCATAATTTGTCATGAAGTAAAATGACAACATTTTTATTAGGATACATTGCATTAAACTGCTTTCACACTGCTATAAAAATACTCCCAAGACTGGATAATTTATAAAGGAAATATGTTTCATTGACACAGTTCTGCATGGCTGCAGAGGCCTCAGGAAACTTACAATCATGGTGGAAGGAGAAGCAGGCACATCTTACATGGCAGCAGCAGAGAATGGAGAAAGTGAAGGGGGAATAGCCTCTTATAAAACCGTCAGATCTTATGAACTCACTCTCAGGAGAACAGCATGGGAGAAAATGTCCCAGTGATTTAATCACCTCCCTTTCTTGACACATGGAGATTACAGGTTATACTCCTTTGACACATGGGGATTATAATTTGAGATGAGATTTAGGTGGGGACACAGAGCCAAACAATATCACTCAGCCAATGGCATTTATTTATAAGTGCTAGAAAGAACCTTATTATAGTAGTTGTCTCTCAAGATATAATCGCACGTGATTCTATTCCACAAAAATTGGTGTTACAATGAGCATTTAAGGCAATAAGGGGAGTAAAATTTCAGACTAGCAACATCTGGGAAGCCTTCTTGCATAGTTAATCAACTAGTTGCAATATTTATAGAAGGCCCTCCGGAAGTACACGGAAATATGCCAGATTTGGGCATGGAAGAGAGCTTATAAAGTTAAGAATGTGGAGATGCAGATAGAGACAGATATATTTTGACCAAGAAGAGAGTAGAAAAATTTGAAGGAATTATATTAAATTTAAAAATACTGCATTTTAATTTTGTGTGTGTATAACACCAGTAATATTTTAGCAAAGTATTTAGAGAAAATACCACAAATTATGAAGAGTAGTTCTTCATACTGTGCACGTCCGATTATGATTTTTCTAAAGACCAATGTAGAAATGTATTGACCAATAATCAGCTCCATGAGTTAGGTTTCTCTACAGTCCTAAGTAAACTCCCTCCACTGTGGTGACAAAGCTAATAATGCCTAATTATTTACCAGGGTTTTCTGCCTTGCTCTTAGTCTTAGTCTAATTAATTAGGGCTGGAAGCAGCGTTTTACTACATCTGTTGGGGAAGTCATTCATATATAAAACTATTTTGTATGGTTTTTTTGTTTGTTTGTTTGTTTGTTTTGAGATATGAGTCTCACTCTGTCACCCAGGCTGGAGTGCAATGATGTGATCATGGCTCACTGCAACCTCTGCTTGTTGAGTTCAAGCAATTCTTCTGCCTCAGCCTCCTGAGTAGCTGGAACTACAGGCATGCGCCACCATGCTCGGCTAATTTTTTGTATTTTTAGCAGAGACAGGGTATCACCATTGCTGGCCTGACTGGTCTCGAACTCCTGACCTCGTGATCTACCTGTCTCAGCCTCCCAAAGTGCTGGGATTACAGGTGTGAGCCATCACGCCTGGCTGGGTTAACTTTTTTTTAAAAAGCCAAGTGGAACATGCTTTAGATCACTTGGAAGTCATTTATTCATCAAAATTGTGCTGAGAGCCAACTACATGCAGGGCACTTGGGGGATGCAGTGAAGACTAAAAAACAGGTTTGTCTGGAAGAACTCATGCTCCAGATAAGTAGAGAAAACATTCAGCAGTAACAAGAAAATAAAGTAGACTGTGGCAATCACTGCAAGAGAAGGAGAGGACTAAGTGCAACAGATTTCTGAGGATGGTATTATTACCAACATAATACATGTGTCAGATCTAGACTCAGCAGGCTATCATGGTTTCCCTTTTATGACATTCTACTCAGCAGACACAAAGGTCTACTTAAATGTGCAGGACAGCAATAAATATGAAAACATAAATAATTATTTTTTACACATTGAAGATATCCTTGATAACAATAAGGATCTCTATGTTTTCACACTGTAGGTGCAAAAACAAAACAACTTTGTACGTAATCCATTCAAAATTATATAGAATAAATTAGTTTATTGGAATTCCGGATAATTTCCATTGTTCAGAATGTGAATATTCCCTTAATTTCTTTGCTAATTAATAGGAGTAATTTATAAAATTGATTATGAAAGAAAATAGATGCTTTAAACCTTAATACTATATAACGGGCAGGGAGAAATAAAAGAATAGACCCTATTTCCATTTCTACTGCTAAATTCCATTTGGCTTTCTAAATAATTTCCTAAGAAGAAACTAGAGATAAATTACCTTAAATGGATAGCGTGTATGCTGTTTAATTGCCAGGAACTAATAAGCATTTTGAATCAAGTAAGAATGAAGCTTCTTAAAACTCTGTAGCTTAAACTTGTTACATATTTTAAATTAAGAAACATGAAATTTTCTTCAAAAAATAATTTCATGCTCAGAATTACTAAAAACAGGAAGCATAGAATAATGCTACCTTTTCCTATTGTCTTTTCATTATTTTTTTCTTAAGACATAGGTGACATATCCAAGTGCTTGTCCTTCATCAGATGTTTCTATAAGCAGCAGAGCAGAAAGCTATAATATGTATTCATTCGTAATGTGTCATTCTGAATGTATTAAGGACAACTGACTACACATGTCACAGGTAATTATAAAAGTCACCTTCAGTTTCAGGTTTTTAAAGCACAGCACCATATACTTTTAATAAGCACATGTATTGATGTCTTTTGACATGTCTGAATCTCTTTTCATCTCTCACTTTTATGGTGGATAAATTGTCTCCATGGTCATTTAATTTAAAAGATTAATTTTCTTTGCCAGGTGCAGTGGCTTACGCCTGTAATCCCAACACTCTGGTAGGCCAAGGTGGGTGGATTGCTTGAGTCCAGTCTGGGCAATATGGCAATACCTTGCATCTATTAAAAATACAAAAATTAGCTGCGTGTGGTGGTGTGTGCCCATAGTTCCAGCTTCTCGGGAGGCTGAGATGAGAGAATCCCCTGAGGCTGGGAGGTTGAGGATTGCACCACTGCACTCCAGCTGGGAGAGAAGAAAAAAATGACAAAATATATTTTTTCTTATTTTAACTCCTTAACTGGGATGTGCAATAAAATTGTACCATGTTTTTTTCTTGTAAGTGAGAGTTTATTTGTGTCCTGAGATTCAGTAACCCAGAATGTTCTGTGCCTAGAAGTAATTTTTAGAGTCTCATCTGAGAAAATAAGAGAGTTGAATAAGTATAAGTGAAAAATTGAAAGTTGATATTTCACATTCAGACAGCAGGGAGTAGTAGCTAAGAACTTCTACTCATGACTGTTGTGACTTCCGTGAAGGGTACAGTCAGTTCAAGTGTGAATGGCCAGCACGGCTTTCTAAGGGTATTAATGGTGGTTCATAGGATCTGCCTGCAGTTGAATTATAGTGGGCTGAGCTGGAATCGCCCAGATGTCTAGGCCTGCAAAGATGTGTGGATCGACACTTCAGATTGAACAGTGCTCTTACTGCTGTTCAAGGGCATGGGCAGGCAACTTCCAGACTGTTTACAGATTTTGCACGTTCATTGGCAGAAGATAGACATTTAATAGATCGTTCACTTTTTAGATATTAAGTTGACTTAATCACAGGAAAGCTTTCTAATACTTCTATCATGGAATCCTGACTCCAGAGGCGTCTTTGCACTGAACCAATCACAAGAACTTGTTGGCCTCTGCCTAGCCTCTCAACAGTATGATACATGACTGATCGTGGCTTGTTTCTTGAAATACTTTTTTCTTTGGCTTCCACAATGTTCCATATCCTGTTGTCCCTCCTGCTTCTTTGGCCTCCCTTTTCAAATTCCTTTGCATGTGCATTTTTCTCTAAGCAGCCTTTGAAGACATCATATGTGGTCAAATACATATGATGGACTAAGAAGAAGTTAGACAGTACAGCTGTATTAGGGTGGGCTAAACTGCTGAAACAAATGGTACATCCCAAAAATATACAGTAACTCAAATTTAACAGAGGTCTGTTTCTTGTTCATCAAATAGTCCAGAGTAGGGGTTCACAGTTTGCAGACAGCTACCCAACATGGTGATTCATAGTCTCCTGCTATCTCAAAGCTCCACCATAGTCATTACTGTGTCCACTGAAGAAGAGGATAAAAGGCAAATAGGAGGCATAACAAAGGCATTTCTGCTGAAAACCCACTGTTCAGAACTTAGTTATATAATCACACTTAACTGCAAAAGAGACTGGGGACTGTGCTCTAGCCATGTGCCCAGGCAACAAAATGGAGAACAGATTTTAAGAGACTCTCCCACAACACTTCACAATGAATTAATGGCATTTGTGTACAAAGAAACAACACAACAGAAAAATGAGTACAGGGCATACACATACATACCCAAAAATATTACCAAAGCAGAAGTAAGTATCACCAATAAAGAGATATTCAACATTAGTCATAATCAGGGAAATGCTTAAAATAACAAGAGTATGAAATTGTTAAATAATTGGAAAAGTAATAATACCAGGTACTGGGGAGTATTGAGGGAAACAGACATTCTCTTATTTTGCTGATGGAAGTGCACATTATATGACATTTTAAAAGCAATCTGCTAACCTATACTGCAATATAAACTCATACTTTCATCAGTAATCCAACTTTTGGGGAACTGTTTACTGTGGTCAGTGTGATGTGCCTCTGGAATCCCACTCCAGCACTAAAGCACAAGTTCACTCAGCTGCCAGAAGCTTTGTCTGCTGATGCCCCATGGCTGTGTCTCTCCTTGGGGATTTTCCTCCACAGAAGGGAGCTTCTTTACCTTGAACCATGCCTGCTCCCTGGAAGAAGCCTACTTATGGTGGTGGTCAATGCAGAGGACACAAAGACTGCCTTCCTTACCCCAACTTGGGACATTTCTCAAGGACTAGATCACTGAATTAAAAGAATACATAGATCTAAAATCGACAAACTAACATCAGAATTAAAAGAAATAGAGAAGCAAAAGCAAACAAATGCAGAAGCTAACAAGAAATAACTAAGATCAGAGCAGAACTGAAGCAGACAGAGACACGAAAAACCACTCAAAAAATTAATGAATCTAGGAGCTGGTTTTTTTTGAAAAGATTGAAAAGATAGATAGACCATTAGCCAAACTAATAAAGAAGAAAATAGAGAAGAATCAAATAGACACAATAAAAAATGATATAAAGGGTATCACCACTGACCTCACAGAAATGCAAACTACCACCAGAGAATACTATGAACACCTCTATGCAAATAAACTAGAAAATCTAGAAGAACGGGATAAATTCTGGGACACATATACCCTCCCAAGATGAAACCAGGAAGAAGTGGAATCCCTCAATAGACCAATAACAAGTTCTGAATTGAGGCAGTAATTATGGTCCACCAACCAAAAAAAGCCCAGGACCAGATGGATTCACAGCCAAATTCTACCAAAGATAAAAAGAGGAGCTGGTACCATTCCTTCTGAAACTATTCCAAACAATAGAAAAAGAGGCATTCCTCCTTAACTCATTTTATGGAGCCAACATTATTCTGATAACAAAACCTGGCAGAGACACAACAAAAAAAAGAAAATTTCAGGCCAATATCCCTGATGAACATTGATGTGAAAATCCTCAATAAAATACTGGCAAACCAAATCCAGCAGCATATCAAAAGGCTTCTCCACCATGATCAAGTTGGCTTCATCCCTGGGATACAAGGCTGGTTCAACATATGCAAATCGTTAAACATAATCCATCACATAAACAGAACCAATAATAAAAAACACATGATTATCTCAATAGATGCAGACAACGCCTTTGACAAAATTCAACACCGCTTTATGCTAAAAACACTCACTAAACTAGGTATTGATGGAATGTATCTCAAAATGATGGCTATTTATGACAAACCCACAGCCAGTATCATACTGAATGGGCAAAAGATGGAAGCATTCCCTTTGAAAACTAGTACAAGACAAGGATGTCCTTTCTCACCACTCCTACTCAACTTAGTATTGGAAGTTCTGGCCAGAGCAATCAGGCAAGAGAAAGAAATAAAGGGTATTCAAATAAGAAGAGAGGAAATCAAATTGTCTCTGTTGGCAGATGACATGATTGTATATTTAGAAGACCCCACTGTCTCAGCCCCAAAACTCCTAAGCTGATAAGCAACTTCAGCAAAGTCTCAGGATACAAAATCAATGTGCAAAAATCACAAACATTACAATAGCAAAGACCTGGAACAAACCCAAATGCCCATCGATGATAGACTGGACAGAGAAAATGTGGCACATATAGACCATGGAATATTATGCAGCCATCAAAAACGACGAGTTAGTGTCCTTTGTAGGGACATGGATGAACCTGGAAACCATCATTCTCAGCAAACTGACACAAGAACAGAAAATCAAACACCGCATATTCTCACTCATAGGTGGGTGTTGAACAATGAGGACACGTGGACACAGGGAGGAGTAGTACACACTGGGGTGTGTTGGGGGGAAATAGGGGAGGGACAGCAGGGGGTGGGGAGTTGGGGAGAGATAGCATGGGGAGAAATGCCAGATATAGGTGAAGGGGAGGAAGGCAGCAAATCACACTGCCATGTGTGTACCTACGCAACAATCTTGCATGTTCTTCACATGTACCCCAAAACCTAAAATGCAATTTAAAAAAGGCAAAAAAAATCACAAACATTCCTATACACCAATAATAGACAAACAGCCAAATCATGAGTGAACTCCCATTTACAATTGCTACAAAGAGAATAAAATACCTAGGAATACAACTTACAAGGGACATGAAAAAGCTCTTGGAGGAGAACTACAAACCACTTTACAAGGAAATAAGAGGGGACACAAACATATGGAAAAACACTCCATGCTCATGGATAGGAAGAATCAATATTGTGAAAATGGCCATACTGCCCAAAGTAATTTATAGATTCAATGCTATACCCATCGAGCTACCACTGGCTTACTTCACAGAACTAAAAAAAAATCTATTTTAAATTTCATATGTAACCAAAAAGAAAAAAGCTGGAGGCATCATGCTACCTAACTTCAAACTATACTACAAGGCTCCACTAATAAAAACAGCATGATACCAGTACCAAAACAGATATATAGGCCAATGGAACAGAATAGAGGCCTCAGAAATAATGCCACACATCTACAACCATCTAATCTTCAACAAACCTGACAAAAACAAGCAATGGGGAAGAATTCCCTATTTAATAATTGGTGCTGAGAACACTTACTAGCCATATGCAGAAAACTGAAACTAGACCCCTTCCTTATACCTTATACAAAAATTAACTCAAAATGAATTAAAGATTTAAATGTAAAACCTAAAATCATAAAAACCTAGGCAATACCATTAGGACATAGGTATGGGCAAAGACTTCATGACTAAAACACCAAAAGCAATGGCAACAAAAACCAAAATTGGCAAATGGGATCTAATTAAACTAAAGAGTATCTGCACAGCAAAAGAAACTAGCATCACAGTGAAGAGGGAACCTACAGAATAGAAGAAAAATTGTGCAATCTATCCATCTGACAAAGGACTAATATCCAGAATCTATAAGGAACTTAAACAAATTTACAAGACAAAGACAACCCCATCAATAAGTAGGTGAAGGATATGAAGAGACGCTTCTCAAAAGAAGACATTTATGCAGCCAACAAACATACGAAAAAAAGCTCATCCACACTGGTCATTAGAGAAATGCAAATCAAAACCACAATGAGATACCATCTCACACCAGTTAGAATGGTGATCATTAAAATGTCAGGAAACAACAGATGCTGGAGAGGATGTGGAGAAATAGGAACACTTTTACACTGTTGGTGGGAGTATAAATTCATTCAACCATTGTGGAAGACAGTGTGGTGATTCCTCAAGGATCTAGAAATAAAAATACCAGTTGACCCAGCTATCCCATTACTGAGTATATACTCAAAGGATTATAAATCATTCTATTACAAAGACACATGCACATGTATGTTTACTGCAGCACTATTTACAATAGCAAAGACATGGAACCAACCCAAATGGCCATCAATGATAGACTGGATAAAAAAAATTTGGCACATATACACCACGTAATACTATGCAGCCATAAAAAAGGATGAGTTAATGTTTTTTTGAAGGGTTATGGATAAAGCTGGAAACCATCATTCTCAGTATACTAACACAGGAACAGAAAACCAAACACTGCATGTTCTCACTCGTAAGTGGGAACTGAAAACAGTGAGAACACATGGACATAGGGAGGGGAACATCATACACTGGAGCCTGTCGGGGGTGGTAGGAAAAGCATTAGGACAAGTACCTGATGCATGCAGGGATTAAAACCTAGATGATGGGTTGATGGATGCAGCAAACCACCATGACACATACATACCTGTGTAACAAACCTGCACGTTCTGCACATGTATCCCAGAACTTACAGTATAATAATAATAATGATAAGAAAATACATAATTTCTACACTAGTACCTACAAGGCTCATCATATATCTGGATTGTAGAATCAGGAATAAAGTTGTTTTATTAGAGAGTCAGTAACTCACAGAAAAAGTTTTTTGTTTTATCTATTTTGTAGACTAGTGGTAGACAAGTAACCCAGTTTGAAGAAATTTTTTTGTATGTTTATCTTAAGGTATAAAGTGTGTTTCCTTATAACTACATTGCATGATTCAAGGTTTTAGCTCATTGTGGTAGAGCAAAATGCCAGTTTTGCTTTTCAACAATTTTTATGTATTATTAAGATATAACTGGGCACAGACTTGTTTGTCGTTCACACTAGATAGTTTTATATACTTGTACTTTACTTTCATGTTTCTTGTATAGTGCTCTACATTTGATTCTCATGACAATTTTGGGAAGCTGCCAAATGGCTTTGGTGTGTCCACTTTATAGTAAGGAAGCAGTTTAAGAAAGATTTTTTTGTTTTTTGGAAATCCATTCACAGCCAGTGCATTGTAGAACTGGAACTTAAACTGAAGTCTCTTATTACTTAGAATAGATGTGTCCTCTTTGAGCACTTTTTTTCATAACAATCCACATAGGAATCTTGAAGCTGCTTTCCTTATGTAATATTTCTTCCTTTTCCTCAAAACAGGTAATTATTCTAAGGAGTAACAGTCATATCATTTTAAGTACCCTTGTATGCAATTATCTCTATGGAGGAATAAAAAGAACAGGTACTTCTGGAACAGAGGCTACATCTTCTTCCAAGTTTTTAATGGGTTCAGAACATTTTGGCCATGTCTACATGATAAAAATAAAATGTTTTCCCCACTCAAAGCAATTGCAGATTTGTGAATGTGGGGTGTGTGTGTGTGTGTGTGTGAGAGAGAGAGAGCGAGAGATAGAGAGAGAGAAAGAGAGAGAGAGAGAGAGAGAGAGAGAGAGAAATGCAAAAATGGCTAACCTCCCCCTGACCTACCTTCTCATTTCTGAGACTGAAACTGAAAATCCCTTGCTTGGGACACTAGGGATCTGTTCTGTCTGGGCATGCAGCCATATTGGGGCATGCCCAAGGGGACTGTGCCTGAGCTCCTAAAGTATGCTGCCCCAGGACACCAGTGCCCCCATCCCTTCTTGTGATCCAAGTTAACTACAATCTGAGAACTTCTCCTGAACATTCATCTGATGATAATCTCTCATTGTAATGATTGCTGAGAAAGTAACCAAGGTGTGGCTTTAGAACAATCTGTTCTTTCAAAATTGTAAAACTACTCTAAGGAAACCTTAATTTTGGTCCCTAGAATTAAAACAAAACAAAAATAAAAACAAAAAACCAAAAACACTTGCAGTTTCAGAAAGCCCTTTGTTCTAAACACAGTCTCTAACTCTTCTCTCCTGTTCATTTGCCAGTTGCTGTGGCTAGACCAGTGAGGCGCTCCTGCTCAAAAGGTAATACCTGGCTTTTCAGCTATTACTATGGAATCTCACCCATGACCACCCAATGCTCTGTTTTATTTTGTTTACTATATATATAGTGTATCTTAGCATAGATTTAACTTTTAACTATTAAATTCCTTGCCCACAAATGCAAGTAAAACAGATCCCAAATAATAACTAAATAATCCCAAATATTTAGTTTCAAATTCCAGGCTGAAAATATATCTGCACTTACATTAATGCCTCTAAATGCTTAGAGGTACATTAAGGTGCAGTTCTTTTCCAAAAAGAAAATCTTTCTTCTACCCAATTCCACATGCACCAAAGGTTCAGTGGAGAGTGTAAAACCTCCCATCTGTTTATGTTTTGTTTCATACCAATTGGCCTCAGGCAGGCTTCCAGGCACCCTGTGCCCTCTTGTCTCCTTCCCTCTTCTCTGCCCTGCACCATCACTGGGTTAGGTCGCCACATAGCCTTGTGGGCAGTGGTCCTGGAACCTTCAAATTACTGAGTGAGGGATTTATGAGATGGAGTTTTCTTACTAACACTGATGGGCTCTCATAGGACTCACAATGACGGGCTTTCCTGGATTAACATCATAAAACAAAATGACCTCATCGCACAGAGGTCAGGATGAGAATGAGTGAAAGGGCATCAGGGGAACATCCTGTCACATTCTTTTTTTTTTATGATAAGCATTTTAACTTCCTGGCAACTCCTGGTCTAACCTTAAATTAAGTGTACCACCTTCAAGAGGAGAGATGGATCAGGGAAGCTGGCTGACATCAGAATATAAACTGAGAACAAAACCTGATGCCCAAGAGAGAGCAAATCAGATAATCTGCATTTTGAAAAATCAGGAGTTGATTGAATTTTACAGTTCATTCAGCAGTTTCCCAGCACTAAGTTTCTTGCTTTTCTAAAAGGCAATAGAGAGAGGGGAAAAAAAAGCAACCATCAAGTAGGTTGAAATTTTGCATAAATATCAAGCAGATGAATGAAAGTAGGAGAATCCTCTGGGGTCCTGCTCCAAATGCTCCCCATACCAGGCCTCCTTCCCTTTCTTCCTGATGCAGCTGAGAGCTCTGCTGACCCTGTTTCTGTCCAGTCAAAACACACCTGTCTTCAAAGAACCATATGTTTCACAGGAAGAGTTCATTCCTCTCCATACCCAGAAGAAGGCTGATACCATGTGTTTCTCTAAACTTGGATGCAAGGAAGAAGAGTCCAAAGTATCACCAGGTAAGGATCTACTTGATACATGGAGCCTTTACAATCCTTATACACTAAACAGTGTATAAGCATTCCCTTTCCAACATGTTTACACCAACGTCTGTTGTTTTTTGGCTTTTTAATAATTCTGGCTGGGGCAAAGTGGTATCTCATTGTGGTTTTAATTTGCATTTCCTGAATGATTAGTGATACTGAGCATTTTTTGGGCATATGTTTGTTAGCCATTTTTATATCTTCTTTTGAGAAATGTCTCTTCACACCATTTACCCACTTTTTAATGGGATTACACAATCCTCTTTTAAAATACTGTAAACATATTTAGATATGTTTAAAATAATTTTAATATATTTAGATTGCATGATTCTGAATAATATTTGACACAATGAGTAAGATTGGCCCTAGAGATTCTAGATATTTTAGATTTGATTTTGCCCTTTTGGAATCAGCATAAACATGTTGCTCATTAGAAGAGAATATGCCAAAACTGAAAAATATGCCTTTTTAGAAAATGATCTCATTTTTGGCAGAATATCCATTACTTCTGAATGAAGACATAACCATTCTCATTCTAGACAAAATGCTATAGGGCATTTTATTTAGAAAAAGAAACACTCTTTGCATTTCCCAGAGAATACAAAAGAAGTAAAACACATTACAAATGTTGTATGGTTGCTTTATGAATTAGTCCTTTTATGTTTCCAAAGCACGTACAATAGATAAGCCTCATAACTGTGTATATTTTCCTCTAAGGGACCATTGAAAATCTTTGTGGTTAGTGATATTTTTAATTCAGCTCTGGACTTTCTCCAGGAAATCACTAATAATTACTAATTGTATTTTTGTAAGTTAATGAAAGGATGCATTCTATTTTCAATGCCACCCCTCACTTGTGTAATTCATGATGTTTCTTTTTTACATGATTGAGTAAAGCTATAATACAGAGACATGAATTAACTAAGAAAGCTTCTTTGTGCAGTTTTATAGAAATTAAGTGTAAAGTCTAGTCATGCAGTTGTCATAAAAAGAAACTATTCCTTCATCATTTTTTTCTTCCATTTTTGCTGCATAGATTTTTCTATGAACAGTAGCAGAAAAGAGAACCATTTAGTGAAACAGTTGTTCTGAATGTAGTTATCCATTGAGACTGTGGACAATCTTATTTGTAAAAAATATATTATGAAATTTCCTTAGAGAGCCTTTTCACAGTGTTGAATTTAACTGAATGTCAATAAGAATAAGACACCTGGAAGAAATTTTCTGATACTTCCAAGACTTCCAAACTGTAAATTCAGATAGCTCCTTAAATTTGTGAAATCATGTTTATTCAATAAAATCTACAGTTCTTGTGATTAGATTGAATGGAAGTTTATGATTTAGGAAAGAATCTGCAAGGAATAACCGAGAAGAAAAACTAACATCTTGCATCACAGAGAGTTGGCTTCCCCTTCAAACTCTTCCACCAACTTGGAGGGCACCATCATGGAAAAATACAGGTAGTTTCATTTACAAGTGGTTCTTGTTTCTGAGCATCTTACATTAAAGACTGTTATAGAAACTTAACCAAGCATAACTTTCTCCTCTATCTTTGACCTCCCTAGTATAGTGCCCTGACATTGTTTTTTCTTTCTCTTTTTTATTCCTTCCTCACTTCCTCTTCCCCTCCCTCTCTTTCTCTGTTTCTCTCTTTCCTTCCTTTTTTCCTTCTTTTTTAATTAAATTTTTTTGGTTTTACTTTTCATAGGGTAGAAATATGCCAGCCCTGAAGATAGTTTGAAGCCAAGCTTTTACTCTTAGTTTGGGGATAAAGAAATGACTCATTACCACATATTTTAAAATCATCCACAAATTCAGGAATGTTTGGGTTATGGGCTGATAGTAGGGAAATTGGGTACAAAGTAAACCAAAAGCTCTATTAAGGATATACCAAGAGTTATATATCAGTTGAGTATCAGGTACCTGGGACCACAGTCAGATAGCGGAAGGAGGAATTATGAAATACAAGGCATCATACTACTAGGAATACTAGAAAATATGGGATGGGCGCAGTGGCACACGCTAGTAATCTCAGCACTTTGGGAGGCTAAGATGGGCAGATCACAAGGTCAAGATATCAAGACGATTCTGGCCAATATGGTGAAACCCCATCTCTACTAAAAATACAAAAATTAGCTGGGTGTGGTGGCGCATGCCTGTAGTCCCAACTACTGAGGAGGCTGAGGCAAGGGAATCTCCTGAACACAGTAGGCAGAGGTTGCAGTGAGCCGAGATTGTGCCACTGCACTCCAACCTGGTGACAGAGCAAGACTCTGTCTCAAAAAAAAAAAAAAAATGAAAACACTGAATAGCACATATTATATGGTAGGAACTGAGTCTATATATTCATTTTCCTTACAACAATCCTATGAGGTAAGTACAATCATTATGCCCATTTTATACATTAGGAAATGAGGGCACAGAAAAAAATTAATAATGTGCCCAAGATTACACATCAGTATAGGATGTATACCCAGGTATTCTGGCTTCACACTCCATCCTATTAACCACTACAGTCTTTCTGGAGACTCGTTTCATCTAGTTCAGTATCTTTTATTGGGACTGCCTATTGTTGATGGCATTGACCTCTTGAAGGAGCAATGTGTTATCTACCATGACTAGTCAGTACATGTTATAAATGTGGCATTATTCCTACACATCTCCTAGGCCACTTTGTTTCAAAAAATAAGTGTGGCCACTTATGCACCCATTCTTCCATCTATCCATCTGGCTATAAGATGCACATAAGTCTCACTATGAGTATGAATCCTACCCAGCAACATTCTATACCGGCCAGGTATGGTTAGAATGGACATTGAAGTAGCAAAGCCTTGGAACCAACTGAAATGCCCATCAATGATAGACTGGATAAAGAAAATGTGGCACATATATACCATGGAATATTATGCAGCCATAAAAAAAGAATCATATCCTTTGCAGGGACATAGATAAAGCTGGAAACCATCATTCTCAGCAAACTAATACAGGAACAGAAAACCAATCACTGCATGTTCTAACTCATAAGTGGAAGTTGAACAATGAGAACACATGGATACAGGGAGTAGAACAATGCACACCAGGGCCTGTAATGGGTGGGGGAAGAGGGAGGGATAGCATTAGGAGAAATACCTAATGCATGTGGGCTTAAAACCTAGATGATGGGTTGATGGATGCAGCAAACCTCCATGGCACATGTATACCTATGTAACAAACCTGCACATTCTGCACGTGTCCTAGAACTTAAAGTGTATATATATACACGCACACACACACACACACACACACTTACATAAGTGTATATATACACTTTTATATATATATAAAAGAATGGAAACTGAAGGAAGTCTTGAAGGGGAAAAGGTCAAACAAGGTGAAAGATTTCTGCAAGGAGAATTATGCAGCCTGATAAGAATATGAGGAAAGAAGTGCATCATGGTTACAAATAGTGGCTCTGGAATCCAGACAGACCTAGGTTCAAATCCTGCTTCTGCCTCTTCAAAGCTGTGACACCATTGCAAAACAATGTCTGTCAAGTTATTTGTAGCCCAACACCAGGCACAAGATGTTTATAAACAAGACATGTCTACACATAGGTTTATCATAGCTAGCAATACAAATGACCATGACTGCATAGAAATGACCATTACTAAATAGAAATCTTAGAAATATATACAAATTATAGTCATTATCTTTCTCTTCTAACTCCCAGTATTCTCTGTCCTGCATAAAAATTCAGTTCCAACCCAAAAACTACCCAGCTCACTCTTCCTTATCTACAGAAGTCCAAATCCTGAAGATATTATCTGAATTGCCCACACATGGGAAAGTAAATAACTGATAAGTAATTATGCACCTTTCATGGTTGGGGACAGTGAATATTTGCTCTTAAGTAAGAACAAGAGTAATGTGTTTGCTGCCACTGTGACATCTCATATGCATCAGAAAAAAACAGAATTGTTGCTGATCTTCATGATCAAAGCTACGACTAATGTATTATTATTTTAGTAATCAGCTTCAGCTCATCCTTCACCAAAGTTCTCCCAAGGATGACCCAAAAGTAACCAGTGCCTTACCCTGCCTAGATTTTCCTGATGCTGGCAAAACTTTATTGACAGTGACCAACATCTTTTGACAACAATATATGCCAGGAACTAAGAATTTACAGTGTATTATTTCATTTAAACATTTACAGCAGCATCGCAGCAACAACCCCCGAGCAGTGTTGGGATGTGACAACAGAGAGCTGAACGGGAGTGGAGTGGTAGTCAGCCCTGAGAATTCTCAGTGCGAAGAAACACTCTTTATTTCTTTGACTGAGAATGCTCATTGCTCTTTGCCTATAACAGAATTAAGTTTTAAAGTAATTTTTTAAATTAGCAAACTCTTATGCAGCTTTCAATAATTCAACCACACCTTGGAGACTCCCCTTGAAAAGGTGCTGTGCCCATCACAATGCACACACACACGCACACACACACACACACACACACACACACAATACTGGAACAACTCCTTTGTGGTTTGAACCTGTTGCCAAAAAATATAAACAGCAGAATGGATGAAAAACATGAGGTGAAGGATGTGCCTGACTCCCCCAACCCACAGCTAATGTACTTATGTTTGTTACACACTTCCATTAAGGCAGCAAACAAACTTCACAGCCCAAGAATAATTTGGGGTTATTTACTTCGATGAACACATTCCCACTGGGTTTCTACTGATTGTGAATTAATTTTACTCAGGTATTTCTCAAGGGGAATTCTTCATGAAATTATCATATGCAAATAGTTTGTGGCATATTTTACCCTTTTATTTATTTATTTTTTATATGCGCCAGTTACTTTATGAAGTGCTTCTGAAGAAGCACATCAGAACCTGCTTTTTAGTTATTAGGCACAAAGTGAAGATTTCTACACTTAGGGTTAGTTTACAAGTTTCAGAAACAAATGACTGATTTTCTTATTTCAGAATCTGAAAATCCAGAAGTATGAAGGTCTGTTCTTTGCATATTCATTTATGCCTGTGACTCAGACAAGTATTGAGGGAGGGGATGAATCATCACATGGAATAAATTGCAGTATTGTTAGTCTCAACATGCAAAGTTATTCTATGATACCTAATTTCAATCTGTTATGCCTAATTAAAGTGTGATAAAATAAGAAATAGAGAATCTGAATTTTAAATAAATTTAAAAATATATGAGGATTTTTAATGAACTTAGTGGATCAAAACCTCCAAGTAAAATAAACCATCATACTTAAAATAATCTTCAGTCTTTCCTTTGTGTGTGATTGACAGGCCACCCTTCAGATTGCTCCAGCTGAACAGTCTCACAGTGGACCAAGAAGGGAACTCGGTTTTAAAGGTGGCAAATAAGACTACTGGTCCATAACACCTGAAGAGGTCTAAGTGTTGCATTTCATAGTTTATTTTGTGAGGCTTGGAAAGCTTAAGACTTAGTCAATTCCAAATTCAAATGTAATACCAAGGTACTCAAAACTTCATGGTAGATTCCATTTGGTGAATGATCAGGCTGTGTCAAGCCTAATGATTATACCTAATGAGGAAGATAGTTTCTGGGGTTAATCAAGGGCCTAACTAGTGACAATATATTTTGCCAACACATGTTCATAAGTAAAAATTTAAATACAAAGAATGTTATTTATTAAGGTTCTAAGAGTTAGTTCATTAGTAATTAAATACATCTGTAAAATGAGTCTGGTTTCCATGCATAGCCTAGGGAAACCCAAAATCACATGTTTAATTATTTGGTGTGTAGCAACATGATCACCTAGGGAATCTCTACCTGTTCTTCATAAGGTTGATAGTGCCTTGACCTGAACCAGTTTCAAAACTGCTAGACATCATCCTCAAGTTATGTGGTGCTTAATTTGACTTTATATGCTCACGAGGCAAAAGAGATGATAGATAAGGAGGTCTGGTAAAGAAAAAGTGCTCCAACTCACTATTCCTGCAATGTCTCATAGATTCTAGAGGTGAACAAAGCCCAGATTGTGCTGAGGTCTTGTACTCTGTAACTAGTCTGCAAACTCTGGTCTGAGCTCAAACCCTGGGTTCTGCTTAGGCTATGTAAAAAATTTTATTTTCTCTAAAATGGGATCGATGTGGCTCAGAATCAGATGTTTAAGACTACTGCCAGTTGTCTTCTCCTCCCCTCCCCGCTGCCTTGACTATGGAAACCACAAGACACAGAGCAAGCAGGGTGGGAATGCATTTTTCAGAAAAGTAGGAAGATTCTCCTAATAGGGAAGGCACAGACACTTTGGATCCTCAGAAGTGGGAGAACCTGAGACCAAATGAAGTTCTAACTGGAATAATTAAGGTAAACAGCTTATTTGAGGATTTTGAAGGCTGAATGGGTGGTGGAAACAAGAAATAAAGGAGAAGCAAGCCAAAATGGCAAGCTTTCTCGATGAATTGCCTGCCTGAAGCCAAGAGG